GTGTGGTGACGATGATCAGTTAACTAACTTGTACACAACTGTATACTGGTGGAGATTCCAGGTTTCTTGTCCACTTGAAGTCATGTTTGTAAAATTCTGACCAACCATCTCTGGACACAACAAGCTCACAGACTTCTGTCTGTTGCTTCTTAGCATATTTATTCTCAATGATGTTAGTGATGATGTGTAGCATATTTATTCTCAATGATGTTAGTGATGATGTGTAGCATATTTATTCTCAATGATGTTAGTGATGATGTGTAGCATATTTATTCTCAATGATGTTAGTGATGATGTGTAGCATATTTATTCTCAATGATGTTAGTGATGATGTGTAGCATATTTATTCTCAATGATGTTAGTGATGATGTATAGCATATTTATTCTCAATGATGTTAGTGATGATGTATAGCATATTTATTCTCAATGATGTTAGTGATGATGTATAGCATATTTATTCTCAATGATGTTAGTGCTGATGTATAGCATATTTATTCTCAATGATGTTAGTGATGATGTGTAGCATATTTATTCTCAATGATGTTAGTGATGATGTATAGCATATTTATTCTCAATGATGTTAGTGATGATGTATAGCATATTTATTCTCAATGATGTTAGTGATGATGTATAGCATATTTATTCTCAATGATGTTAGTGATGATGTATAGCATATTTATTCTCAATGATGTTAGTGATGATGTAATCAAATAAATGTGGATATGTTATGTTTACCCACAGCCTGACAGAATATTTATTAGACGCCTATCACAACTGTGTTAGTTAGTTAGTTAGTCTTTCCTCTTGTGTCTAGTGCGGCACATAGGGCAGAGGTCGCGACTCTCCATGCACGGCGGTCCGTTGCAATCCGTTGTAGGTCTTGGATGTTTGAGTGGCCCATGAGCGAGCCTTCCCTGATGATAGTTCTACGTAGGGTTTCCCTTGGTCTTCCACGAGATCTTTTCCCCTGTGGTGTCCAAATGAGGGCTTGGTAAGGAAGTCTTGATTTATCCATTATAAGGGCGTGGCCGACATAGTTCCAGCGGCGTTTTCGTATAAAATTAGACACATACTCTTGCCTGGATTCTTGCCTTATTTGTGTATTGGTTCGGAAATCAACTGTGTGGTGCGCTGTAGACACATGCAGTTGGTGTTTCATTAAATAACCATTAGTAGGATGTGGGATGAAGTGTCCTTCTCATTTCCTCTGAAATCCCCACTTAATCTTCAGTTTTAAATATCAGCTTCAGCTTCATTTCTTTCATGAGCCAGACCAAGTTATCAATTTAGAGTCACCTGTCCTACACAGACATGGCAGGCAAGAGAAAGAAAACAGCACTGACCAAAGAATGCAACACAACTTACATACAATACAATAATATAAACTAACATATATCTAAAACAATGTTTTCCCGTAATGAATTTAAATAATGCGGATACAAACAATACATTACACATTTCATTGCCAGGCATATTTCGCTATATCGGTCAAGAGGAAAGAACCCGCTTTTTCCATAGGACGTCATCTACTTAATTCCGGACACATAATTGATACAGACTGTGCTTTCCGTGTGGTTTACCACACTCCGAACAGGAGACTTTTGAGAATCGCCAAAGCCTTAAAAATCGTAAATTTGAAGTTACCCTGGTAAGTCACGTGACTACGGTGAGCTTCCGGCGGCCATGAAACAGACAATGTATCGAAGAAACTATTCGCATTTCAGTTGAATTTATTCAGTTTTGTGCTTTATTTTATGTTGATGTAACTCTGTAGTAACACATCTGATGATATACAGCGAAATATGCCTGGCAATAAATTGTGCAATGTATTGTTTGTATCCACATTATTTAAATATTTCTAAAAAGCAAACAATTTATTTTCTCTTTCTCTCTCTCTCACAAGTTGCATTCAATTCTAGGACTGGAAGCTGGCAGTAGAAAGTTTAAAAAAAACGACACTGGTTGAACAGCCTTGCCTGATGCATTCATCTCAGTAAAAGGTATCCAGCACTGATCTAATTACTTGGGAAGTCTCTGCATGCAACCCTTCATTCTGGTGCTCACCTCTTCGGTGGAGAGTGGCAGTATGTGAGTTGGCCAGAACTGCAGCAACAGTTCAATAAAAATAATATTTAAATTTTGTTTTTAAAAGACAGTGAGTGGATGAAATTTTTGATAAAAAGATTACGCATTCACACATTTGAATTTCTGCAAATATATGTTTAGAAATCCATCAGCTGATTATTATGTTGACAAACATCATCATCTAGTTGGCGTGGTACATCATCATCTAGTTGGCGTGGTACATCATCATCTAGTTGGCGTGGTACATCATCATCTAGTTGGCGTGGTACATCATCATCTAGTTGGCGTGGTACATCATCATCTAGTTGGCGTGGTACATCATCATCTAGTTGGCGTGGTACATCATCATCTAGTTGGCGTGGTACATCATCATCTAGTTGGCGTGGTACATCATCATCTAGTTGGCGTGGTACATCATCATCTAGTTGGCGTGGTACATCATCATCTAGTTGGCGTGGTACATCATCATCTAGTTGGCGTGGTACATCATCATCTAGTTGGCGTGGTACATCATCATCTAGTTGGCGTGGTACATCATCATCTAGTTGGCGTGGTACATCATCATCTAGTTGGCGTGGTACATCATCATCTAGTTGGCGTGGTACATCATCATCTAGTTGGCGTGGGTGTTCATGCATATCCATAGATCTTGGTCTTTGTTTTGGATCAATTCCAGATATTCCCCATGCCACTGTCTTGAGCCACCCACTGTCATTTCTCTTGGTCTGCTTCTGCCTCTTCTTCCACAGATCTTTCCAGTTGCCATGATATTTTCCAGTGCTTCTTTTCTCAACACATGACCAAAGAACTTTGTTGTCTCCTTCTCATTGTTGTATGTATTGAAATATATGGGAAAACACATTGCCAAATATCACAAATCACCTCTCTTGTGTATGAAAATTAAGAAAATAAACATGAAAAAAGTAACAAGCTACAAGCAAGGGGACAAAAAAGACAAACGTTCTATCCAGTTGACCACAGAAATACACCAATGAGAGATGTTCATGGACAAAAGGACAATCATTCTACCCAGATGACCACAGAAATACACAAATGAGAGATGTTCATAGACAAAAAAGACAATCCTTCTACTGAGATGACCACAGAAATACACAAATGAGAGATGTTCATGGACAAAAGGACAATCATTCTACCCAGATGACCACAGAAATACACAAATGAGAGATGTTCATGGACAAAAAAGACAATCCTTCTACTGAGATGACCACAGAAATACACAAATGAGAGATGTTCATGGACAAAAAAGACAATCCTTCTACTGAGATGACCACAGAAATACACAAATGAGAGATGTTCATGGACAAAAAAGACAATCCTTCTACTGAGATGACCACAGAAATACACAAATGAGAGATGTTCATGGACAAAAAAGACAATCCTTCTACTGAGATGACCACAGAAATACACAAATGAGAGATGTTCATGGACAAAAGGACAATCATTCTACCCAGATGACCACAGAAATACACCAATGAGAGATGTTCATGGACAAAAGGACAATCATTCTACCCAGATGACCACAGAAATACACCAATGAGAGATGTTCATGGACAAAAAAGACAATCTTTCTACTGAGATGACCACAGAAATACACCAATGAGAGATGTTCATGGACAATAGGACAATCATTCTACCCAGATGACCACAGAAATACACAAATGAGAGATGTTCATGGACAAAAGGACAATCATTCTACCCAGATGACCAAAGAAATACACCGATGAGAGATGTTCATGGACAAAAGGACAATCATTCTACCCAGATGACCAAAGAAATACACCGATGAGAGATGTTCATGGACAAAAGATGTGACAACACACGTAAACAAATTAAAAATACACAAATGAAGCAGTTGATTTATGCTAGAAATTGCTGCACCATAAAAGACTTGTAACATAACTACATACCGGCGTGGACGGAATTAATGTATGTGATGTCAACATTTTTATCAGCACATTTCAGAACATCTGATTTTCTTAAGATGCCACCTCTGAACATCTGCAAAGTTTACTGTGTGAAAATATGTTTACTTTTGGTGGAAGTTATATTCTTTTTTGTATTTAAAAAAAAAATTGATAACAGACTTCACATGCAAATGGAAATACTTGTATAATTCTTTTAAAATGTTACATAATAATTGAGATGAATTTATGGAAACTTATTGTAAAAACTTCAACATCCAGCAATATAAACCATCCAACATTTAAAACAAGAAAACAGATCTCACGCTACAAACTGGAATGAAAAACCAATAAGAATTTTTTTTTCTCTCAATATAATAACTAGGCCGTACACGAGAAACCCTGAGGTGAATGTTGAGGAGAGAGGCCAAAGATGCTAGACTGGATTCCATCCATGACATCGAAGTGACTGCATAGGACTGAACAGAATGGAGAAATAGATCGCAAGCTCTAGGTGACATATAGTGACACAACAAAACAATGAATGAATGAATAATATAAAAATAAGAACTCAACACAAGTGTTGGCTGTTCCAGTGTAGCACTAGGGCAGTGTTTCCCAAACTGTTCTTAGCCGCGGCGCATTTTCTCAAATAAAAATTGTTCCATGGTGCCCTAACCTAAGTAAAAGTATGACTATTCGTACGTAAAAGATTTTTAAAAAAATAAAATGTGTATCCTCGAATATTTCACGGAGCCCCTGTGAAGAGTTTGTGGCTCCACGGGGCACCGCGGCTCACAGTTTGGGAATCACTGCTCTAGGTGACTGTATCTGAAACCAAGTGACAGGTGTAGCTGTCTGTTCTCTGTCTGTCCTCATTGAATGAGACGTCAATGCTGGCTGTCTTCTCCACTGACAACCGACAGCATCCGACAACCTGTCCCATTCTTACTCAGCACAGATGTTTCTTAGCTGCTGCTGCTTTTAAATCAGCTACGATGACGATGATTCTGAATGCAGCGCAGAATACAAAATGATCCAAGCAACCTTAAAGTAATAAGGAGAGAAAAAAGCAAGGGATAAAATACAAATAATCAATATCACTAGTCAACTTGTCATCTACACTCCCTTTTCATGAGGGGATCGAAGAGTTTGCAGAAATTAAAGGATATTATAGCATTATCTGTGCTACAGCAGCTAAATGCTCGCCTGCATATCGGAAGGTCATGGGTTCAGACCCTGACGGAGCCGGATTTTTTTTATAAATGACTGTGGCTCCCTGGTCGACCCAGCCTTGAGTGTGCAGTCCAGGGTAGTAAAGGCGGCGGGCGTGATGCTGACCACACCAAGTGCCGATTGGTCTATAAAATATAGGTCTAGCCCTATATGCCCATGCCTCAAGGTGTAGAAAAGGGTCCTTTACTTACTTATAACATTATCTGGTGAAGCTGCAGAAAATGGGGCATGTGCCAAAATGAAATATGTTGTAGTGGTACCTCAGTATGCTTAATCCGTTCCGCATCCATTGATATAAGCCAAACAGGATGTATACCAAAGGCATATCCCCATAAGAAATAAAGGGAGAATGATTAATCCTTTCCTATGAAAAAGCAAATCCTATTGTTACCAGCACATTATTTACTTTCCTGAGAAAAGTCAAGTGCCTATACCATGATACTGAGCAAGGAGGAGGAGATGTACATAATGAGGAAGCTGACTGAGGCTTATCAAATTATCAGGTTTGACTTTTACTAAAAATCTGCCCAAAGAACTTTGCTTCTGCCTTCTCCTCAGGATGTTCTGGACATGTGACATTGTCTGGTCATTCCATCAGTGTTTGGGTACTGTTGGCATAATAATTCTCTGCAAAGACATAGACATCTGTCTATTCCCCCCCCCCCACCTTTTTTTTTAACCAAAAAAGGACCCTTGAACCTACACAAAAAGAACTGACTACAATTCTGGCACTGTTCTAATGAATTTTGAATAGAACTAACAATTAACATAAACACACACACACAAAATTACCAGAAAGGAAGAAAATGATGTCATCAATCCCTCTTTGAGTATCTCCATTGTACCTCCGTAGGTTTCCTCGTCCACTTTCTGGAAAGTGTTGTAATACACGTAGACTATGGCAACGTTGACTAGCAGAAATCTGAAAACCATACACAAACAATCAGTTACATAATTTTGGTGAAGTCTATTTGGTCACAGGCGTAGGAGAAAGTTAAATCCTTTGTGATGTGTATAAAAAGAGACTCAGGTATCCGCTCTGCACACTCATCATCAGCAGCCGGGCCTCCAACTGGCTCGCTGTTAGATGACATCGTCGCCAGTCAGGACAGTATTTGGGTTTGTCCTGTTTGATTGTATCAACACTACAGCAGTCTTTCAGGTCTCTTGGTGGCTTGCAATGCTAAGAGCCATTTTATTTGGCACACATAACTAGTCACAATTATAACCTAAAGCTCTCCCCTTCGGCTCTGCATTTATGGCAGCCTCCGTGGATCGCATTTAATGCCCATGCTCCTGCCACGCCTCCCCTTTTGTGTACATGTGGCTGTGAAGTCGACTGTGTGGTCTACCTTGGTCTTGTTAGAGAACCTGAGATTTGCGTGTACATCCATTTTTCACATTTGGCTTATCTGTATGTAGACTGCTGATTCCTTGCTTCTCAGGAAAACACCCCTAATTAGTTGACTTTTAGGACATGCTTGTTAAGGGGACAGTGTGTCTATTCTGTTTTTCCCCCAAAATGGGGCCCTGGAATCCAAGCAGGGAGTACCTGTTTTGAATCTGGGCGATTTGGCAGCAGACCGCTTTGCGCTGATTTCAACAGGGATACTGAGAGCCAAATAAGCAATGGCAAACTAGTGAACATAAAAATTGACTAGTACAACCAACACAACTAACAAATACTGTGGTTGGTTGTGCAACACCCTGTAAAGGATACCCAACTAACTTTGTAAATAAAAAGACAAGTATATGTAATCATATATTTATTACTTCCCCATAGTAGTAGTACCATTCACTTATTTTCATATTTAGATTCTGTCGTCTTCTCTTCTTTTCTCTACTCCTCGAATGCCTCATGGCGTCAGGACAGGGAGCAGGAAGAGATCCCTGGAATGGGCCCTTCTGCTCACTTCGTGTAAAGTACATTTTAGTGTCTCAGTGTCTCTGATATTTCTGTGGTCAATCTGTTACCGCTGTATCTGTATAACATTGCTCTCTGTGGCGCCCTCTCTGATGCCAATCTTGTTACATGGCCAAACAATTCGATTTGTTGTCTACCTATAAAGTTCATCATTGGTTCTGTGCCGACTCTCCTCCTGATATCATCGTTCTCGAGTTGATCTTTCCTCGTTTCACCCAGCATAGTACGTAAACATTTCATTTCTATCAAGACCATTTTCTTTCTGTCTTCTGAAGACAGTGTCCATGTTTGACTCTGACATTGAAAGTATAGCGTTGGTAAGAATATTATGTTGAACAGTGTTATTTTAGTGTCCACACCCGCATGCTTAAATTCCAAAATTGGTGCCATTTGATAGGCTTTATTGCATTTTTTCTGGACTTCTTCATTATTTCTTCCGTCTTCTGAAAAAGTGCTTCCCAGGTATTTGGATACTGTAATGTGGTTATTTTAGAGTAATTTTTTAATAGGTTTTTTCTTTCTTCAAAGTTTTGTTTCTCTTTGCTGTTTGCTGATAAAAGGGTGTCACCACAACGTCCTTTGTTTCTGGTAAGGGATTCTGGGACACCAGCTTTGCACATGTCTTTATGAGAATTTTAGATATGTCTCTTTAATACCCAGATCCTGCAGCTCTAATATCCAGACCCTGCAGCTTTAATATTCAGATCCTGCAGCTTTAATATCCAGATCCTGCAGCTTTAATATCCAGATCCTGCAGCTTTCATACCCAGATCCTGCAGCTTTAATATCCAGATCCTGCAGCTTTAATATCCAGACCCAGCTTTAATCCTGCAGCTTTAATTGCAGCTTTAATATCCCAGATCCAGACCCTGCAGCTTTAATAGCTTTAATATCCAGATCCTGCAGCTTTAATATCCAGATCCTGCAGCTTTCATACCCAGATCCTGCAGCTTTAATATCCAGATCCTGCAGCTTTAATATCCAGATCCTGCAGCTTTCATACCCAGATCCTGCAGCTTTAATATCCAGATACTGCACCTTTAATACCCAGATCCTGCAGCTTTAATATCCAGATACTGCAGCTTTAATATCCAGATCCTGCAGCTATCAGGACAATGCTACCCCCATCACAGTCAGCTACAAGGAACACTTTAATGTGGTGGCACATACTGCTGTTGCTGTGTGTTACATTATATGGCACAGAACCAGACCATTAAAGTCTTAGTCCCAAGGCCTCTGGATATTCTTCTTCTTCATCGTTCATCCAAATGATGTGTATGTGTTATGCATGTTTACAACACAGCTGCAATATTCACACTTTTTCGGCCAAAACACCAAACTTTTTCAGGCACCTGTTAACAGGATTAGCCTTCCCGGTTGGTTTCATGGGACAATCGTAGCCTTGTATGTGTGGTAAATTTTTCCTCCCCTGCTCCACAGGTGATGTCCCTAGAGGTCTTGTCCTGGGCAGCCGCATACAGCTGGGCAGCCGCATACAGCTGGGCAGCCGCATACAGCTTGGCTGACCCTAAAGGGAAGGCAGGGAAGGTGCATGGCCTTTAGCTGTGTATCCTTTACAGGACGTCGTAGAACCAACTCCAGTATTTTCTGGCTGTTGTGGTTGTTCTAGGCAAACTTTACGTTCAGTGGGTTGCTATTGCTGCTAAACGGTCAGCTCTCGGTACCACTGTCGAAACCAATGCAAGACAATGCATCCACAACCCTGGCATCACGAAGCGGGTTCGCAGCGCCTAAGCCACCGATTCAAATTCCACCTAAGGAGTCGTTCCATAAATGAAGAGCTGATACTTGGCATTCTGGTACTGGGCTTACCCAAAAATTGTCACATTGGATCATAACCATAGCAATAATGAATGAATAAACCTAATTCTAAAAGAGTTAAAAATTGGGCAAGCTGTCATATCTTACATTCTGACCTAATTCCTTTCATACTTTATTTAATACATATAACTTTTGATAGGAAATAATCCTTGATTTAAAAAAAGATATTAATTCAAATACTGGAATGTGCTCAAGTTATTCTACAAAAAGATTCTTAGAATCCCATGGATCAAGAAGGAGAAAAACTCTGACATCCTGAATGATCTGAAGCATCAAGGAGAACTGGCTCATAAACAGCATCTTCTCCTGAAAATATCCTGACATATTTTGGATATGTCAAGCGCCATGGTAGTCTCGAGAAAACCCTGATGGAGGGTGTAGTTTTCAGGAAATGAGACAGAGGCCGACCTCTGTGAAAGTGGATACATGACATTAAAGAAGCACTGGCTATGAAAACTCTCAGGGCTGGACAAAGAGAGAATTAAAGGTGTGCTGTGAAGAGAGTAGCATTCTGTACACGACTTGCTGATTGACTGCTCCTGTTAAATCCATATTTATCGCTGAGCTTAGTCAAGAACTGGCATCAACTCTCTGGACATTCTCTTATCTGCTCCGTTCTTATCTTAAGCAGCCAGTGACGAGTTCCAATTTCTATGGTACAAGCAGTAGTTTAATTATATGACCATCCTGCTGTACTTCTGAGTGTCGAAGCCAGGTCCCCTTGGTCTCTCCCTGCTGCATCCTTATTTACCCATTGTGATGATCTATCTCTCCGCATTTCTAAACAATAACAATGTGTTCATACATAAACTGATAACGATTTAGAAAGATACATACAAAGCTAGCGCCAGAAGCCCTTTCAACGGAATGAGGCCCCAGACAAGTCCTAGCAGAAGACCCATGATCTGCCTCATCCAGTAAATGACATCCAAAAACTCATCCTGAAAAGTCAACAAAACATTTGCCACAAAACGAAAATTTGAAAACATATTAATACCGTCACTCAAAAGTGGTGTTTTTACCTCCATGGTTGTCACAGATCTGAACATGGCATAAAGACGTATGATTGCACGTACTTGAATTATGTGAGATAGAGATTTAAATGACTGGGCAAAGACTTGAATGATGTGAGACAGAGATTTAAATGACTGGGCAAAGACTTGAATGATGTGTGAGACAGAGATTTAAATGACTGGGCAAAGACTTGAATGATGTGAGACAGAGATTTAAATGACTGGGCAAAGACTTGAATGATGTGAGATAGAGATATAAATGACTGGGCAAAGACTTGAATGATGTGAGAAAGAGATATAAATGACTGGGCAAAGACTTGAATGATGTGAGACAGAGATATAAATGACTGGGCAAAGACATGAATGATGTGAGACAGAGATTTAAATGACTGGGCAAAGACTTGAATGAATGATAAATGACTGGGCAAAAACTTGAATGATGTGAGATAGAGATATAAATGACTGGGCAAAGACTTGAATGATGTGAGATAGAGATATAAATGACTGGGCAAAGACTTGAATGATGTGAGATAGAGATTTAAATGACTGGGCAAAGACTTGAATGATGTGAGATAGAGACATAAATGACTGGGCAAAAACTTGAATGATGTGAGATAGAGATATAAATGACTGGGCAAAGACTTGAATGATGTGAGATAGAGATATAAATGACTGGGCAAAGACTTGAATGATGCACTGCTGGATTTCCCCATCACTTTCGATTGTGTTTCAGCAGAATCTTTGTGTGTTTTCATGCTAGGATTTATTTTCAACATCACTTCTGGTTGTATTTTAGTGGAATTTAGTCAGTTTTTGTTTTCCATTGTATGCTGATCAACTCTGTAGAAATAATGCATCGGGGAGTCACCGTGGGGGAGAGGCTAGATGCGCACCGCGGATTGGAAAGTCGTGGGTTCGCACCCTGGCGGAGCCGAACTTTTCTTCAAAAATGACCTTGGCTCCCAAGTCGACCCAGCCTTGAGTGGGTACTGGGTGCAGTCCCAGGAAGTAGAGGCGGGCGGCGTGATGCTGACCACATCACCCATCTTGTGCCGTTGGTCTATAAAACATAGGTCTGCCCTATACGCCTAAAGGCGTGGGAAAGGGTCCTTTACTTTTTTACTTTTACTTTATAATAAAGCATCTGACGTGCTACAGCAAAATGTGCCTATAAATAATATTGCAATGTATTTGTGTCTGCAATATTTAAATTCACTAATGGAAAACGTTGACTTTAAGTTGAGTCAAGACAGGAAACATTATAACTAACTTCTTATGGGAAGTTAGTAGAGGTACCTAGAAGTGGCTGCTGCATGGGAGGAATGAGCATGTAAGAGTTCCTGGAAAAGGGGAGTGGGGGTGGTGCGTGAATACACCATTGCCCTCTAATCTTATTTGAATATTTATGATACTAAATTTGCACAGGGTAAAGGTCTAACAGAATAGAGGGAATTAAATGGTATGATAGAATAACTAATGTAGAGTTTTGGGAGAGAACTAAACAGGCTCCAGTGGACCAAGAGATGAGGAAAAGACGCTGGCGTTGGATAGGACACACACTGAGAAAACTGGAGAACAGCATAACTAGAATGTCTTTGCATTAAAACCCACAGGAATAAAGGAAGGCCAAAAAACACATGGAGAAGACAGCTGGAGAATGAAGTTAGAAAGATGGGGAGGACATGGGGAGAGCTCCATGCAATGGCGAAGGATAGAACGACTTGGCGTGAGTTGGTTGAGGGCCTATGCTCCACTGGGGGTTAGAAAGGCAGAAGAAGAAGAAAGGTCTAAGTGGAATGTTTCCTTCAAAGTCAGAGTGCCCCTGCCTGAGTGAGAGTCAGGATGGATCCGACAGTGAGCACACTTACAAAGGAGCCAGATCTGTAAAACAGATGTGCACGTTAAACTCAAGCCCTCGAACAAGACCAAAGTCCACAAGTAGACGAACAACCAGTACTTTCCCCGTGAATTTGCAGCCGGTGAATAAAAATAACAAGACTGACGATCCGAGTGAAGGTAGAGTTAAGATGAGTCAAGAATTGACATCACAGCACTCGGGGAATTCCCATGCATGCTTCGTCCTCATCTTCAGCAGCCAGTGCAGAGTTCCAATACTGATGGTACTGGTCACAATCTGGTTAAAAGTCCGACTTGCCTTTCCTCTGAGTGTAATAAGCCAGCCAAACCTTCTGGTTACACCCAGGTGCCTCACTCTCTTCAGGCCATAACATTCTTCTTTCTCTACTGATTCCGTTGCTCGTTTCCAAAGGGCCTTGACCACATCTGCCTTGTCATGTATAAATTCACCACCCAGTGGTGCGGATCCAGCCAATCTGTCAGCGTGTTCATTCCCCACCACACCAGCATTGCCTGGAGAAAAGATCCAAGTATGCTCACCACCAGTGACCTTTCCAGTGAAGCTTGCCACTCTTCTCGAAGCATCCCTGTCTTCACCTTTTTCAGCATACTTTGAGTGAAGGTAGTTGAAGACAAAACATTTTAATTTTAGTAAGCAGCATATGCCAGTACATGCAATGAGTGCGACTAAGTGTACTTATGTACTACACACTACATACATCTAACACCTGGCCTTGTCTATAATTATGATGCTACCTTATCACTCCAATCAAATTCCGGTGTCAACGCCTTCGACAGCAGTGACTGTCCTTGCTTGCCCTCATGATCTGCTGCTATTTTCGCGGCGGCTTTCTTTTGTGATTGTATTACCATTTTAAAGTTGTATATATAATATATTGTGACGGAATGTGTAAGTAATGGTAACAAACTATGCAATAAATATACACAACGGTAGGGTAGTGTGATTAAGGAACCCGGGAGACAGCGGCCATGTCTCTGTTTTTACGGACGTGGATATTTGGAATACAGTTTGAATTTTGCCTGGCCAGATACTAGCTATCTTTTGCTCTAACTCAATCAAGAATCTCGTCTTCTTTTTTTCTTCTTCTTCTGTGTATCTTCCTCCTTCCCCTCTTCTTCTTCTTCTTCTTCTATTTCTCCGCATTCTCTTCCTCCTCCTCATTCTTCTTTTTCTTGAGCATTCCTAGCTCTTGAAAGATCTGAACATCAAGGAAGATTGACTAATAAACAGCATCCTGTCTCGGAAGCTGAAATATTTTGGTCATATCAAGCACCACGAAGGAAAGGCAAAAAAATTATAGCAAAAGGCATGGTACCAGGAAGGAGGGGCAGGGGCCGACCGACACGAAGATGGGCACAGGATATAAGTGACTTCTTGAGTTTGAAAGTATATGAGGCAGGAAAACTGGCGAGAGACAGAATTTATTTCAGGCAGACTGTGATGTGAGCGACGTTCTGCAAAGGACCTGCTACATGATGATGATAGATAGTCTTCTCTTTCCAGATGCGACTCCGAGAATTTGTAAGTCTTCCTGGTTTTTACCTCTCCACAGACCTCTTCGTCTACATTGTGGTCTACTCTTATTCAACTCCTTTGCCGGTTTGTTGGGAAATGAGCAGGCTGATAGATTGGCCAGTTCTGCACTGCTTGGTGGTGAACTGATGTATGACCGGCTGGATGTTGTGAGGGCTCTTTAGGAGCGAGTGAACAGTGCGGAGGCACAGATCTGGCCGAAGCTCAATACTCGAGGGATGGGCGAGACGGATATACAATCAGACAGTTACTGGTGCCATCGAAATTGGAATTCGTTTGCTGCTGAAGATGGGTACGGAGCGCTTATGGGGGTGTCCCGAGTGCTGTGATGTCGATTCCTAATTCAACATGTAACATTTAACTCCTTTGAGAACTCAGTTTGTGTCGACTGATTAGGTGCAGTATCTATTTACATACCCGCTATTTCAGTCTGTTAGCCCTCGGGATGCCAGTGATTTAAACAGACTACGAATTTCGTTGCTACTTCTCACTCTCCATTCGCTTCTGGTTGCATCTTTGATGATTCCAAAGATTCGCTGTAAGATTGTTCTCAGAAGAGTATTAAAAGGCTTCCTAAATGCATACAAAGGAATTTACTGAGCTCAAGATCCAAAACCTTTGCTCCCTCTACGCTTAACGATCAATGTGAGCAGTAAGCGATTGTTCAAATAATAATAAAAAGAGAAATCGGCAGACAGACATGTTTATTTATGTTTATTTGGACGAAGCAACATCATAGCATAAGGGTGTAACCCCTGAGTGCTCCTTTTACTTCTAATTCAAACCTGAAGAATCTCAGTGCAGTGCATGAGCTCCGTTGCACCGGCGAGGATCCTGAAATACTTTGGGTAGATTATAAACTCCAGATTTTGCCCGGGCAGCGCTGTTAGGCTATTCTTTTCGATTTCCAACTGCCAAGTGATTTTTTGTACGTGCGCAAGAATACACACGGGCACCCAGTCTTACTACCCAGAGGTCATGTGTAGGGTATATTTTGAGACTAAGTGGTCACTCTGCTTTATGGTAGTGAAACTTGGTCAACCTATCTGCACCAGGAGAGGCGGCTTTATATCTTAAACATGTGATGCCTAAGAAGAATACTTGGCATTAAGTGGCAGGACAAAATCACAAACACTGAGGTACTGGAAAGAGCAGGTACTACAACAGTCTTTTCCATGCTCAGTCTACGAAGGCTCAGGTGGCTGGGTCACACCTGGAGAATGGAGGACGGCGGAGTCCCTAAGGACATCCTTCATGGTGAATTAAAGACAGGAAGGAATGTCGAGGCCGACCTCTACCACGTTATAAAGATGAGTGCAAGCGGGACATGAATGATACAGTTATTGATAAGGACTCATGGGAACAAAATGCCATGGACCGTGTTGTGTGGAAAGGGCATATCAGGAAGGGAATGCGACTGAATGAAGAATTGATTGCAGAAAGGATGAGAGCAAAGCGTCTGACAAGAAACGGATTAAACACAAATGTTGTTAACCATGGTCCTGAAATCCCATGCTAACATTGTGGAAGACTTTTCTTTACACGGGCGGGTCTTGCTAGTCACACTCGCCATCGCCATGGACTGTGAGTCTCATGCCTCCTCATAGCGCAATATAACACTATCGTCTGGAAAGACGGAAAGGTGCCAATGAATGGTCACAGAATCTCAAAACAGCCACCTACTTAAATGGAATGCACTTTGGAAATGAAAACGCCCACGAAAAACCATAAGACGAACGAACGTTGATGAGAGAGACCAAATCTTTAGAACTATATTCCATTCACAATAACGAAAAGATTGCACAGGGTAGAGAAAAAAAAAGACTATATTTCAAGCCCCACGGGACGTTTAAACTGCACAACGGGATGGTGAAGATAATTACGATAATGATGATAGGACAAGGGGAACTATGGGAGGAAGAGAACGCCGATGTTATATTCAGTGTACTACGGCTGGAAATGAGAAAGCTGATCAACTGGCAGGGGAAGGTGCGAAAAAAGAGCAGCCAGATGTACCAGTCACATACCACCGAAAGAAAAGAATAATTAAATCGATCAGGAAACCACCAGCCCCAGCACAAGACGACTTTTTTTATTATGGACAGACCAGAACAAGTCATTATCTTCCGCCTCAGAACAGGGCACAACCGATTACGTAACCACATGTACACCAAATTCAAGATAGGTGTATCAGCCATGTGCACCTGTGGAAATGTGCCCCAGACAGCAGAGCATGTACTCCAGGACTGCACCGATTTTGACACATTAAGGCAAACCTTTTGGCCAGAAAGAACAACAGTGGAACGTAAACTCTATGGACCACTGAATGAACTAACAACGACAGTGAAATTTATACAAGAGACAAAACTGCTGATATAGATAACTTATTTCAGGCGAACGAAAGAAGAAGAAGAAGTGTACTACGGTAACAGTTAACATCTACACATTAAAACATCTGCTGCGGGAGATGGAGTACCTATTGATATGCCCAGTGTACTATGATCATCATCATCAGGTGCCTTGCCGACTGGCGTGGGCGATCATGCCTCTCCATAATCCGCGATCTCCTGCAGCATGTATCAGTTCGTGTACTATGATGGCAATTCTTAAATCAGATGGAGGGGAACAGAATTTGTATAGCGAACGCCTACTTGGCATGAAAAGTAAAAGCAGCAGTAGAAAACAGCAATCTCTTTTGAAGTGCCATGATGGCTTTTATTTTATTATTACATATTTAATTCATTATACGTTTTTCATTAATAATGTTATATGATTATGTATCAAGATACTTTCACTGTTATTGTTATTATATTATTTTAACTATTTTATGTCTGTCTGGACGTAACTTGAAAGCTTGTAAATTGTTTACTGATTATTTATGTCTTATTATCAAATTTGACCGACAACAGGAACTCAATGTCCAGGCTAAGAAACATGGAGGCAGTTGTTCAATTTTAAACTGATATTGATAAGTTCCACGGCCGCCTCATTTATACTTCATTAGTGTTCTACAAATTGTAGACCTTAGTGATTGAGTAGGTAAATTTTACTTTGTTTCGTGTTTACTGAATAGGGTAACCGAGTTTGTGCGCTGTCATTAAAACATGTCGAATAATTGCCGAGGCGGAGTTAGAATTAGAAGGCTTATCATTCGTAGTACTAACTTTACTTTTTCATAGACTGAGACTGCCATTGAGTTTGAGTATCTAATTTTCTGTCATTGAATTGACGCAGTTAGTTGGCAAGCATAATCTTACAACACACAGGACACATGAATGAGTTCTTTGTCTTCCTTAGGCTAAATAATCGGGGGGACTGTAGCACTGTCGACGCATTGCATTCACATTTTTTTCCCCTTTTGATTATTTGTTTAGGTTAGTCTAAGTCTTTACACAGTATGCTACCCCCCTCCCCCCTCCCCCAACCCCCCCCCCCCCGTTCCAGTAGCGTATCATTATAATTTTGTCTGGGGTTTTCCACCCACAAATATTTTTGATTTACTGTAATCCTGCTACCATTTACATTAGACCTCCCTCCTATTCTTATTCTCTTCCCCGTTTCCTGCAGAGGAGCATAAATAAACAACCAACACCTGTAGTCTGTAAGCTATCTAGAACCACAGTTATGTCATCAGCACACTCTATTAATTAAGGATTTGCTGACATTGGTTGTGTTGGGTCGAAAGGTGCAAATATCACAGCCTAGCTATAAGCCACATTACGGCAGGGGCCAACCTTTCAAGGCTGAAAGTAGTACAATCTTTGTGGTATATTAGTACTGTGCAGACCTGATAAGAACTCTCACTGGGGACCCAAGAAATGGTTCTTCTTATCAGAAATTCCTTTTATCCAGATAAAAATTCAAGCTATAAATTTTTAGGGGAAAAAAAAAATTTGGCTATCCTCCGAATAACAGTCCCAAATTATGGAGGCCAAAAATATACCCCAACAGGGCCTCAGTCACATGTAAATTCCACACCTCTTCCGGCGACTACACATCATACCGCTGAGAGTATCTCCCGCACTGCTACGTGCAGAGTTGGGCTAAACTAGATGGCGGGACTCACAAGCAAATAATATGGAGGAAGCTGCAGGAGATGCGGTAGCTGCTGCTTATGAGTCCCAGCCATCTGGTTTAGCCCCGCTCCGCATGTAGCGGTGCGGGAGATACTCTTGCCAGTGACTTTAACTCTGTGGAAGCTTTTTTTTGCGGTATGCTATGTAGTCGTCGGAAGAGGTCCACAATTTACATGTGACTGAGGCCCTATTAGGGTTTATTTTTGGCCTCCATAATTTGGGGCCGTTATTCGGAGGATATCCAAAAATTGTTCTTCACCACAGAAATTTGCCACATCTGAGACCCACTTAAGTGGTCTGCACTGTGTTTGTTTTAGTTGTTATGCACTCTCCAAAAAGCAGGATTGATTTACATAGGCTTTCGTACTTAGGCTTATCTAAGGAAACCACAAAAGTCTCATTTCAAGTGGTAGCCATTAATCGACTAGAGGGTTTCTTAGTCTTCAGAAGTCAAAACTGTAGGCTCTCTTATTTGATCCAGGATCTGGTCTCTGACATTGCCATTCCCAGTGAGTGTGAAGGTTGGCGGTTTACCGACTAATCATTCTGACTATTTTTGTACAAATTGTTGATAAAATACTGGCACTGTTGGTTTGAGTTTCTCAGTACCAGAAGATTTCGTTTTGAATACGTACTTACTTAGTCGTTCCCCTGTTACCCTGGATTTTTCTGTCAACAGTTCTCTTTTTAGCTTTGTTCCATTCCAGTCCTCTGTCAGTTAGGGGCTGTCGAATATTGTCTTTCCAGCGACCGCTGGATCGCCATGGCGTTCTGATTCCCTGGTTCTTGGCCTCTTGTGCCTGCCATGGTGGCCAATTCTCTCTCATTTTGCATACATTTCCAAACAATTGTAACTGACTGATCCATTTGAGCTTGTTTTAAATACTTAGGAATTGTTTTTGACACCTTTGTGTTGTTCCAGATGACAGGTTATATTGTGCTGTGAGGAGGTATGGGACTCGCAGCCCATGGCGATTGTGACTAGCAAGACCCGTCTGCGTTAAAAAGTCTTCAGCTGTTATATCACGGGAATTCAGGACCGTTGTCATAATTAGTGTTTAGTGTGTTTCTTCTCAGACGCTCAGCTCTCATCCTTTTTGAAGTAATTTCTTCCGTCATTCTCATTCCTGATTTTCCCCCTCCACACATCACGGTTGATAGCATTTTATTCCCACTTCCCACTTATATCGTATTAGAGGTCGGTCTCGGCACTTTTTACTTATCTGTAATTCCACATACTGGATATCCTTGGGGACTAATGAAATGACAAGACACTGAAAAGAGCATGAATGTATTACTTTCAAAGACAGCATATACTGTGCTTGTTAGCATACCTAGCCAGATTTCTTTAGCTTGCTCAAAGCAAATGTAAAATATTAAATTACACACTGTTCATTGTTTCATACGTACTGATTATAGCTGATCACACTCTGTGTGTTGGTTGGGACATAAAGATAGGATTGTCCTGAAACATATACTGGTGTTGGAGGGCAGAGTGTTGGCCTGCACGTATTTTTTCTTCGACGTATGAAGTGGTGTGGCAGTTCACTTCCTCTTCTCCTTTCCTTCGCAGACAATTGCCAGGAAATTATAAAAATTATCATCCTTAACTGCATAGGACTGCATGTTATATCTGGCCGGTGTGGCTGTTATGGGTGTCGTAATTATAGCTTCTATTGGAGGTTGAACGGGATATCTGAAATCTGTCTTCTTGGTCTGCTGTCCAGATTGAGACTTTTAAATCTCAGGATGGTGTAGTAAACCTTTAGGTGCCATCTCAGAGGGGCCAGAATAAGCCATCGATCAAATATTGTCTGGTAATCAGGATGTTATGTTGACACAATCGATGTCATTGCACTTTGGACATTCCTCAGTCGTCTGATGCAATGACCACTCCAAGGTGTTTCTACTAATTGTTCCAATGAGAGGTTAGTTATAATGTCTGCCATCTCGAAAGCCTCATAGCCATGCTTCACTATGCTTTAGTCCCACGTCACCAGTCGTGTTCAGAGGTTCATTACCGTCCACTAGCCCAGTCCATACAGCGTTGATGATATCTGCTCTGTCCATGCTTCTTCCCACATGCGTTGATGCATTGCTTGTGAGTTGGTCCACTGGCTCATTACACATTACACTGTACGCCACATGACCAGGTGTGTAGATCCAGGTGATGGAGGTGAAATGCTTAGAAATACAGAGGGTGGATTAGATTAGATACAGAAATAATAAGACGCTAAAAGGCCTACCAGTGTACCAGTCAAAAAAGACTAAGACATCCAAACATAACTATATCCCCAAAGTGACATATTATAAATATCATTTTCTTCTTTGTTTACCGACTGTAGCCTGCAGTGGAAAGTCCTGGTTGTTTGTCTATTTGGACTTTGGCTTTGTGCCAGGGCCTGAGTTTTGCATGTACATCCCTTTTACTGACTTATTTGTGAGCAGTTGGTTGTCCCTTGCCACTCGGGCAGATGCTCTCTGACTTCAAAGTAAGTCCCCAGTTAGTCAACTTCTACGACATGCTTGCTGGGAAGGCAGTGGATCTATCATATTGATACCAACTCTGTGCTAACAGTACCAAACATTGTCCGCAGCTGACACACAGATTGCCAGAACGGTGTTGTATATAGCTCTGTTTTGTTTCAGTAAAAATGTTTGTTGCACAGACAATAAAATCGGAGCATAAGGACCTGATTCATGATGTATCTTTTGACTACCATGGCAGAAGAATGGCTACTTGTTCCAGTGATCAGACAGTAAAGGTAAGCAGTGGTATTTTTTAAAATTATTGTACGTTGTATATTTGTGCGTGAAGTTAACAGCCTGTTTGTCAGTCAGAACCAGTTTCATTGAAAGCCTTTCTTCTTTGCATTTGCTGGCTGTAAACTCCAATGGAAAGTTCTGGTAGTTTACCCAGCTCTGGATTTTAGACTTGTTCCAGAACCTGAGTGTTGTGTGCATGACTGTTTTACAGATCTAGCTTATTTGTATGCAGACTGTTGGTTCCTTGCTTCATGGGCAATCTGACTTCCAAGGATGCCCCCAGTTAGATGACTCCTCCAACATCCTTGTTGGGGAGGCAGTGGGTCTGTTCATGTTTTCCCCATAATGGGGCACCGGAACTCACACAGGGAAATTGCATTTTCTGTCTGTGGAAACATGAAGCAGAAATATACCAGAACTGCAAACTCAACTCATAAACTTGTTTTTTTTAAAAAAGGAAAGGACCTCTTTCCCATTAGTAGGGTATGTTGGAGTGAGAGATAATATATGGGGGAGAAAGAGGTATAATGCATGTGGGAGGAAGAGAAAGAGGTATAATGCATGTGAGAGGGAGATAGAGATGATGTGTAAGAGAGAGAATTACAGGCTTTTGATGTAAAAAAAAAAATTTTATAATCTTGTCAGATTACAGCACCCCCCAAAAAAAATGATTGTATTATGATCGTGGTTATTATTCAGTTTCATCAGCGATTTAAAAAAAAATTTATTTAAATCAACTAAAGCTAAATTCATAACAAATGTGTCATTAGGGCATGAAATGCTAAAGGTTTCACGTGTACTGTCTTTATTTGTGAGGTTAGGGGATCAGTTTTCTTCCACCCTTACAAGATAGTCAAGTGGAGATGTTGTGTCCTATAGTGATGTTGTAGCTCGGTTTAGAACAGGTGACACTGTGCAGGACAGTGAAACATAACTGGCAAGACAAGGGCACTATGTGTGTGTGTGTATATATATATATATATTTTCACTGTTATTGTTTAGTTGAAGACTAGCATAGAGCTTCCACAAGCATTGTTTTCACATAGAGGTCTGTAGTTATCTGTCCTCTGTTTTCAGGTGTGGGACTTTGATGAAGCCAACGGATGGCAGTGTACTGCAAGCTGGAAGGTAGGTGCAAACTTCTCCGAATAACGGGCACAAAATATGGCAGCCAAAAACAGGGCCTCAGTCACCTGTCAGTTGCGCACTTCCAGCGACCTAATTTGTGGTTTTCTGGCGACTACCGCCACCTCTAAGAGTATCCCCCACGCTGCTCATGCGACGTGGATTGGGGCTAAACTAGATGGCTGGGACTCACGAGCAAAGCTGCAGGAGATGCGGAAGCTGCTGCTCGTGAGTCCCAGCCATCTAGTTTAGCCCCAATCCACGCCGGGCGAGCAGCGTGGAGGATACTCTCGGCGGTGGCGGTAGTTGCCAGAAAACCGCAAATTAATTTGACGGAAGGATGCAATTGACACATGACTGAGGCTCTGTTAGTGTGTTTTTGCGGCCTCCTATATAAGCTGGTGTTCATTTCTTTAAGGCTGTTCTTGATGCCAATACATCTTCAGGTCCAATTTCTTCAAATTCATTAACCCCTTATTACTTCTTTGGAATGTTGGGTCGGTTGGGGGCATAAAATGTTGTATGTGCTCTTTCGACCAGGGTTCGTAGCAGAATCTGCAATCTTCAGTTTTACCTTGAATTGGGGTTGTGCCCTGAAAGCCTGGATTTCGCCCTTGAACAGGATGATTGTGCATGATTTTGCCCTTGAACAGGGCGATTGTGCATGATTTCGCCCTTAAACAGGACGGTTTTTCTCTTCATTTTAAATGTTTACAATCACTAGTCTGTTCGTTGTTTGATTTGCTTGTGAGGTGGGGATTGACTTCATCACATGTGTATGTATAGTACTTCTACTGTGGCCTACATTTACATAATGCCCGGATGTCATTCTTAGCTGGAAAAGGTAGTTAGGGGGAGCTGTGGATAGACAGCCACACGTGAGGTGGGAGGGAGCTGCCACCTCACTTGGGATTGTTTCTGGAAACCAGGGTTACATTGAGAGACAGTGGGGCTTGGATCTTGCCTTTTTCAGAACATCTGAGTTGCTCTATTTGTTGCTATCCCCAAAATTCCAATTTTTTTCTCTACTGATTTACATGCACAAACTCACACACACTTATCTGTCAGTTGTGTGTGTGGGTACATATACATATTTAGATAAGCACATCCTAGCCAGAAGGCAACAGTGTTAACTTTCTGTATGTGGTTTCAGACACACACTGGTTCAGTGTGGCGTGTGACGTGGGCACATCCAGAGTTTGGTCAGGTGCTGGCCACCTGCTCCTTTGACCGGACAGCGGCCGTCTGGGAGGAGCTGAGCAGTGACTCCAGTGTCAGAGGTGGCCGGTCCACCAACACCTGGCTCAAGCGAACATCCCTCGTGGATAGCCGCACCTCTGTCACAGATGTCAGGTTCGCCCCCAAACATTTAGGACTACAGCTGGTAAGTCATCGTCATTGTCAGTTTCCACCTTTCTTTCTTCTCTTTCTTTTGCCATCTCGCTGTTACAGTTTGTAGCCCCGTGTTGTGGTTTTCTATATTTGTCTTGCACTTCTCGGGTGGCTTGGGTGATGGATTTGTTGCAGGTTTCATCTACACCATTCATCCAAATCTTTCTTGGTCTTCCTCTCGCCTTCCTTCCAGGTTTTCTACTATTAAAAGTCTTGTATGCAGTCTAGTTTTGCTGCATTCTCACTAGATGGCTGAACCATTTCATTCTTTGTCTGTCAATATAATCCAGACATGAGATCTTATTCCAACTTTCTCTCTAATGTTGGTATTCCTAACCCTATCCCTTTTTGTGTTGTTATTGACCTTGTAGAGACAGCACATTTCACATGTAGTTATTTTCTGTTCTAGTGCCCAATTCATTTGGCCCATGTTTGGCACAGAAAAAACATAAAATAGGGATAAAGATGATAATAATAATTTCCTGGGAGGGAGACATTTGGGTGTCCAAGCAGTGGGGCTAACTGGTAGGTGACAGCATTTGCCTTCTGTACTCTGGCTTCTATCTCTCTTTCGAGTCTGCCGTCATCCGTAAATGTGCTTCCTAAATATTTGAATTCTCCTACTTGTTTGATTATAGTACCGTTAACATGAACGTTCATGATATTATGTTTCCTGCCTATCCTCATTACCTCAGTTTTCGTGGTGTTTATTCTCATGTTATACTTTGTGCAAGGTGTTTCCACCTTTGAATGTTGAATTCAGAATCAACATCAAAGCATCATATGCCAGGCTTTGTTGCACTTAGCAACGCCCTTTCACATTTGCTATGAGCAAAATCTTTTTTTGCTATTAACCCTCTCACCCTAGGAGCACACAGGTTGCTAACTAATTTGTTAAAGTTTATTTATGTACATTTGTTAAATCTTTTTAAACAGAAAATCTAATGATGAATGAAGGGAATAATCGGTAAACACAAACAGGGTGAAACATTAAATGGAATACATTCACCAGGGCCTAAAAAACATGTATATCTCGTGACTCATGTCCTGACCCCGTGACCTCTATCATGGAGGCTTCCGGGAAAAATTTGACGGCAACTTGGCTTTACATAAGCAATTTTGGTTAAATGGACCAACTCCCCAACCTCTCCCCAACCCCAAACCTATTTGTTGTTAAAATATTCATATTCTGACCTGCTAAATGTTAGCACAGGCTGCAAAACCAGTCAGCAACATTAACTATGCTGTGTCCTGGAAATAGGTTACTTAGACTGATCAGAATAGTGACATTTACAGGGAATTTGACCCAATCACAAGTGTCAGTTTTGCGGATTCTCGGGGCAGAAGGGTTAAGCATCATAGGGGATAACAATTTGTGATCCATTGCCTAATGGTCTGGCTTACTGAAAGACATGTCAGTGAAGACTAAAACTGACCACTGACCCCATACAGTCATTTCATATCTCATTCTGCCAGCAGAAGTGTCTGTCTGGAGATAAACTCTGTGTGTGTGTGTCCTATGTGTGCAGGCGACGTGTTCGGCGGACGGTGTTGTGAGGATCTACGAGGCCGTGGATGTGATGAACCTGAGCAACTGGCAGCTGCAGTTTGAGTTCAACTGTAACCTCAGCCTCAGTTGTCTCTCTTGGAACACTGCCAGGTACACAGCGATGCTCTGTCTGCTTCTGGTTACATTGATGTCTGTCTGCATCCTGCATGCCTGTTTGTCTGCTCCCTACGTGTCTGCCTATCTGCTCCCTGTGTTTATGTGTCTGCTCCCTACGTGTCTGCCTATCTGCTCCCTGTGTTTATGTTTGTCTGTTCCCTAAAGTCTGTGCGTTTGCTCCCTTTATGTCTGTGTATATGCTGACTATATGTCTGTGTCCCTTATCCCTATATTCGTATCTGCTCACTGCATGTTTGTATGTGTCTGTCCCCTACATGTCTGTTTCCCTGTTGCCTACATGTCTGTGTCTCTGCTCCCTGCATGTCTGTGTCTGTTCCCTACATTTCTGTGACTGCTCCTATATACATCTGTGTATCTGCTTCCTAATGTTTATCTTTCCTCTCTACATGTCTGTGTCCCCTATCTATGTCTGCTCCCTACTTGTTTATATGTCTGCTCCCTATATGTGTGTCTGTCTTTCCTCCTACATGTCTGTGCCCCCTACATGTCTGCATCTCTTCTCCCTGCAGTCTGGATGTCTGTTTCCTAGATGTCTGTCTGCCACCAAGTTGTCTGTGGCTCTGCTCCTTACATGTCTGTGTGTATTGACCACCAAATAAACTTCCACATTGTCAGTCCTTCTGTTGTCAATGTCTCTCTGCGTGTGTCTTTGTGTGTGTCTCTCTCTGTGTGTGTTTGTGCTGACATGTAATCCAGAAATCTCTTGCCATGTTTATGACTTGTCTTTGGTGCTTGTTGATATCTTAATAGGTGTCTGTACTTTATGTCCTAATTCCATTTGCCAGATATAGAGTTTGCCATAGAACTGAAGTTTTACAGTATACTTTGTCCACTGTATTTCACCTGTCGGTTGTTTTGTGAATGTATGATTGAGTGTTGCAATCTGGCAGTGATCTGTTTCTCATTTCAGAATGCACCCTCCAATGATTGCTGTAGGGAGCGATGACCCTAATCAGTCGGCAGGAGGCAAAGTTCAGATCTATGAGTATAATGAAACATCACAGTAAGCATATACAACTTGGAATATTGTGTTAGCTCTCAAGATTGTAGTAACATTGGGTAATGTGTTGGCAGTTGGGAGGTAAAGGTGAAGTCGAGAGATGTGAACCAGCCTCATTGCACACCCTTATAAACCATCAGTGCTCTGTCACCAGTACGGACAGCTGATAAGAAACTGTCCGCCTGTGTCGCCGTCCGCATGTAACTCTGTAGCTACAGCGATGTTCCTCTATTAATTCCAGAGTGTGAACTCTGGTACCCATTTCCTAGAGGCTGGGTGAACCCCAGGAACCACCCAGTTTCGAACACTGACTGTGGCTGCAGCGAGTCTCAGCTGGATTTGAAATCGAGCCTCCTATTGACTGCGCTAACGCGGATCCATAAAAGTCAGGATGTTTTAACATTCAACATATTTTAAATTTAAAATTAGGGGGAACTGCGTGGACTCGAGGCATGGTGTCTGCCTCGAGTGTTAGAGTCCCGGGTTTAAACCTGAATCCTTCTTTCCATATCCACAGTTAGAGTCCAACTCTCACATCCGTATAAGAAAATAGACAACACCAGTGATTTGTAAATATTGACCTTGACTGTGACGCAGATTTTGCTCTTCCACATCATATTCAGCTGCGACATCGCGGCTGTTACTATATCAGGTATTTCCTTTAACAATGGTTAAAGAAAAACTAAGTCTAAATAAAAACCACATAAAAACCCCATATCTACTGCTTCAAAATAATTTTTCATGAATCATCCAACTTTTCATGATTCACTTCTACATATCAAAGCAGTTGAGAATGTTTCCGGTGTCGGTTGATAAAGAAAGATTACATAGAATACCCAAGCTCTTCTAGAAGCTGTGTTTTCTTAGATATTGTCGCAGAAGTAAACTTGACCCTTTGTCTTGCAGCAAGTGGCAGAAAGTTGAGACAATCTTCATGGTCACCGAGCCCGTACATGACGTCAGGTTTGCCCCAAACCTGGGCAGATCTTACCATTTGTTGGCCGTCGCCTCGCGGGATCTCACCATCTTCTCCCTGAAAAACATCAGGTATTTGTTATTTATGTCCCCTTTGTGTCACCGGGTGTTTATCGCTTCTGTGATGTCCTGGTGAGGTACAACTTATTAGTCAGACAGTGACGCATGTATTCTGTATAAGATAAAACTAACACAAGCAGTCAGTGGAGTATGTTCTCTACATTATAAAACTATTACACAAGCAGTCAGACAGTGGAGTATGTATTCTCTACATTATAAAACTATTACACAAGCAGTCAGACATTGGAGTATGTTGTATTCTCTACATTATAAAACCATAACACAAGCAGTCAGACAGTGGAGTATGTATTCTGTACATGTGAAAACTAACACAAGCAGTCTGACAGTGGAGTATGTTGTATTCTCTACATTATAAAACCATAACACAAGCAGTCAGACAGTGGAGTATGTATTCTGTACATGTGAAAACTAACACAAGCAGTCAGACAGTGGAGTATGTATTCTCTACATTATAAAATCGTAACACAAGCAGTCAGACAGTGGAGTATGTATTCTCTACATTATAAAACTATTACACAAGCAGTCAGACAGTGGTGCATGTATTCTGTATAAGATAAAACTAACACAAGCAGTCAGACAGTGGAGTATGTTCTCTACATTATAAAACTATTACACAAGCAGTCAGACAGTGGAGTATGTATTCTCTACATTATAAAACCATAACACAAGCAGTCAGACAGTGGAGTATGTTGTATTCTCTACATTATAAAACCATAACACAAGCAGTCAGACAGTGGAGTATGTTGTATTCTCTACATTATAAAACCATAACACAAGCAGTCAGACAGTGGAGTATGTATTCTGTACATGTGAAAACTAACACAAGCAGTCAGTGGAGTATGTTCTCTACATTATAAAACTATTACACAAGCAGTCAGACAGTGGAGTATGTATTCTCTACATTATAAAACTATTACACAAGCAGTCAGACATTGGAGTATGTTGTATTCTCTACATTATAAAACCATAACACAAGCAGTCAGACAGTGGAGTATGTATTCTGTACATGTGAAAACTAACACAAGCAGTCAGACAGTGGAGTATGTATTCTCTACATTATAAAATCGTAACACAAGCAGTCAGACAGTGGAGTATGTTGTATTCTCTACATTAAAAAACTGTAACACAAGCAGTCGGACAGTGGAGTATATTCTCTACATTATAAAACTGTAACACAAGCAGTCAGACAGTGGAGTATGTTGTATTCTCTACATTATAAAACTGTAACACAAGCAGTCAGACAGTGGAGTATGTATTCTGTACATGTGAAAACTAACACAAGCAGTCAGACAGTGGAGTATGTATTCTCTACATTATAAAATCGTAACACAAGCAGTCAGACAGTGGAGTATGTTGTATTCTCTACATTAAAAAGCTGTAACACAAGCAGTCGGACAGTGGAGTATATTCTCTACATTATAAAACTGTAACACAAGCAGTCAGACAGTGGAGTATGTATTCTGTACATGTGAAAACTAACACAACTAATGCACTTTTCAGGAAAGAGGGAGCCAACAACTCTGGCGGGTTGAGCAAGTTTGAAATACGCCAGGTTGGAGGCTTTGATGATCACGAATCTTTGGTAAGTAGATTTGGTTGGCTGTTGAAAGATAGGTTTTCTTTTTGTAATCCTAGTTTAAAGTCAGGATTTTGCCAGTAGGTTTTAACAGTAGTCTGTGAAGATAACTTGTTACAGATGGGAGCTCAAGTAAGGGGAAAGTATGGCCAAGCTGGGGAACACAAATCATGTATTTGGATTCATTCATTGTTCTGTTGTGCAGTTATATGTCACATAGGGTTCACAGTCTGTTCCTTCATTCCAACAACATCAACAAGAAGAGTTGGGAACCACTAGTCTAAAGTCATGGTTTCTATTTTTCTCTCTTCATCTTATGACTGCAGTTGCTTTTCTTCAGCATCTTATGTCTCATGTTGGGACTTTTCATTCACAATTATAGAAATTCTTGCGAAATTGTTATCATAATCAAAACCATTTTTTTTTAAAAAATAGAGGCTTTGAAGATCAAGATTTGTAATGTTAAAGTGAAAACAAAACAAAAATTAAAGAACAATTTTTACGCTGGTAAATTATTGAACATGTAATGCAAGAGAATACCTTGGACAGATTAAAAGAGTAAAAAGGATGTCTTGAAAGAAACTTGACTCACGAAGAGAACTGATCGCCCACATCAGAAAGTGACAGTTTGCATTCTTTGGTCATGTGATGAGAAGGAGAAAACTGGAGTACATCGTGACGGTAAGAAAGTTGGAGGGGAGGAGAGGCAAAGGGAGACCAAAGAGAACAGATGCTGGACAGTTTGACATCATAACATGGATGATCATCGGTGTCAGAGTTGATTGAAAAAAAAAGTACACGAGACAGAAGGTTGTGGATAGACATCACTGCCAACGCCACACGGCATGGACTTTGAGACAGAAGGTTGTGGATAGACATCACTGCCAACGCCACACGGCATGGACTTTGAGACAGAAGGTTGTGGATAGACATCACTGCCAACGCCACACGGCATGGACTTTGAGACAGAAGGTTGTGGATAGACATCACTGCCAACGCCACACGGCATGGACTTTGAGAAGAAGAACATCCGAGGCTCAGATTTATATAAACCATTCAGCACTCGGCGGGTGATGGGGGTCAGGGGTCAGAATCACGCCTGCCACCTTACTTGCCAGGACTACTACCTATTTGAGATTGGGTCAGCTTGAGGGCCAAGGTCAGTGGCGAAAAAAAAAAATTATGCCTCATTTTGGATTTTGTCCCTTGACCTTTGACCTGGCAGGGATTTTTTATTTTTTTTTAAATATTGATCCAGTGTGTGTGTGTTTCCTAAAGTATAATCGGCAACAACAAAAATGTTGGAACTTTAAATATTTAGCAATTTGTGTTTGTGTCACTCATCAGGTTTGGCGTGTCTCATGGAATATAACAGGAACCATCTTGGCATCGTCTGGCGATGATGGATGTGTACGATTGTGGAAAGGTGAGAAGATTTCTATTAATATTTGTGTGTGTTTTTGTTTTCATATCATACAAACTGTCCTTGGTGAAATCTCATGGTTGTCCTTGATGAAATCTCATGGTTGTCCTTGGTAAAATCTCATGGTTGTCCTTGGTGAAGTCTTATTGTTGTCCTTGGTGAATTCTCATGGTTGTCCTTGGTGAAATTTCATGGTTGTCCTTGGTGAATTCTCATGGTTGTCCTTTGTGAAATCTCATGGTTGTCCTTGGTGAAATCTCATGGTTGTCCTTGGTGAATTCTCATGGTTGTCCTTGGTGAAATCTCATGGTTGTCCTTGGTGAATTTTCATGGTTGTCCTTGGTGAATTCTCATGGTTGTCCTTGGTGAAATCTCATTGTTGTCCTTGGTGAAATCTCATGGTTGTCCTTGGTGAAATCTCATGGTTGTCCTTGGTGAAATCTCATGGTTGTCCTTGGTGAAATCTCATGGTTGTCCTTGGTGAAATCTCATGGCTGTCCTTGGTGAAATCTCATGGTTGTCCTTGGTGAAATCTCATGGTTGTCCTTGGTGAAATCTCATGATGGTAGCAGACAAGCAGTATCCTTGCCTGGCACTCTGGCTTGGAGACTTCACGTCTGCATGCTTACAGAAAGTGTGCTGCTAACTTACTAGCTTAGTAAGTTGGTAATCACTACTCCTCACAGGCTGATAGATTGGCTGCTGCCATTCCTCTGGGTGGTGAGCTACTTTATGATAAAGTGGAAGTGGTGAGGGTTATCTGGGATCAAATGGACAATGCAGTAGAACAGACAGAAAATCCATATACTGAAAGACTAATTCAATGGAGGGGGTGAGTGGAGGTTCTGGAAGATGTTCTACAAAGAGGTGTAAATATAGGCCAGCTTTTAATCAGGTTACAACTTGTGTTATTAGCTGGCTCTTTGTTGGTGATGGAGCACCTGCAGTAATGTCCTGAGTGCATTTATGTCTGTTCTTGATTCATTCATACATTCAGACATCCTTCCTGTCATAAACTGTCATCCAGCTGTGATGTCTGTTCTTGATTCATTCATACATTCAGACATCCTTCCTGTCCTGTCATCCAGCTGTGATGTCTGTTCTTGATTCATTCATTCATTCATACATCCTTCCTGTCATAAACTGTCATCCAGCTGTGATGTCACAACTGAGGACATGGTTTCAGGTGCTCCCTCTCTCTGAGAACATGTCAAAGAGTGTGTATGCTTAGTGTTTCCATTTGACTGTGTGTACCTCTGCTTTGTCCTTTTTCATGGTCCTTATGAGTACAGAATTGGATTCCTGACCCCTTCAGCCACCCTTATGAGTACAGAATTGGATTCCTGACCCCTTCAGCCACACTTATGAGTACAGAATTGGATTCCTGACCACTTCAGCCACACTTATGAGTACAGAATTGGATTCCTGACCACTTCAACCACACTTATGAGTACAGAATTGGATTCCTGACCACTTCAGCCACACTTATGAGTACAGAATTGGATTCCTGACCCCTTCAACCACACTTATGAGTGCAGAATTAGATTCCTGACCCCTTCAACCACACTTATGAGTGCAGAATTAGATTCCTGACCCCTTGAGCCACACTTATGAGTACAGAATTGGATTCCTGACCCCTTGAGCCACACTTATGAGTGCAGAATTGGATTCCTGACCCCCTTCAGACACACTTATGAGTACAGAATTGGATTCCTGACCCCCTTCAGACACACTTATGAGTACAGAATTGGATTCCTGACCCCCTTCAGACACACTTATGAGTACAGAATTGGATTCCTGACCCCCTTCAGACACACTTATGAGTACAGAATTGGATTCCTAAACCCCTTCAGACACACTTATGAGTACAGAGTTGGATTCCTGACCCCCTTCAGACACACTTATGAGTACAGAATTGGATTCCTAAACCCCTTCAGACACACTTATGAGTACAGAATTGGATTCCTAAACCCCTTCAGACACACTTATGAGTACAGAATTGGATTCCTGACCCCCTTCAGACACACTTATGAGTACAGAATTGGATTCCTGACCCCCTTCAGACACACTTATGAGTACAGAATTGGATTCCTGACCCCCTTCAGACACACTTATGAGTACAGAATTGGATTCCTGACCCCCTTCAGACACACTTATGATTGGATTCCTAACCCCTTCAGACACACTTATGTACAGAATTGGATTCCTGACCCCTTCAGACACACTTATGAGATTCCTGACCCCCTTCAGAATTGGATTCCTGATTCCTGACCCCTTCAGCCACACTTATGAGTACAGAATTGGATTCCTGACCCCTTCAGCCACACTTATGAGTACAGAATTGGATTCCTGACCCCCTTCAGCCACACCTGCATGTGGTTATTGATTTGTTTTCTCATGCAACAAATGATTATTTACAGTTTCATGTCTCCTGTGCTCGACTTCAGTGCTTTCCCTGGAGGTCAGCTAAGTAACCATTTCACATACTTCCAGGAGATGTGATTATATACACTGATGGGTCAAGGGCATGAAGCTAGGATGGGGCTTCATTGCAAAACCTTGGAGGAGAAGGATGGTTGAGGAGAGCTTGGTAAACGACATTACCACATCCAGCATGAGAATGGAGGTTGAGGCGGTAGTTGCAGTGTTCCGATGGGTGGAAACAATCTCGGCCACATATGTTGTCATTGTATCGGATTCATCAAGCACGCTGAGGATGGTGGGATCAAGTTTTTGTCCTATGGAATGGGTCACATCAATCCAGAGGTCACAGGTGGTAAGAGTAACATGGAAATTTTGTCTAGACAATGTAGGCATGTTTGGGAATGAGCAGGCAGATGGGTTGGATGAAATGGCCCCACTTGGGGGTGTACTGCACAAAGCTGGGGTGATCTACAAACATTCATTTACTGGTGCCTGCGCAGAATACAGGGAAATAAATGGTATGATAGACTCCCTAATGTAGAGCTTTTGTGAGAGAACTAAACAAGTTGCAGTGGACCAAAAGGTGAAGAAAAAACACTGGCTTTGGAAAGGACACATGATGAGAAAACCTGAGCGCAGTATGACTAGAATGTCTTTGAACTTGAACCCACAGGAAGCATAGAAATGAAGGAAGACCCCCCAAAAAAAAACACATGGAGAAAAGAGCTAAAGAGTAAAGTTAAAAACTGAGGAGGACATGGGGTGGGCTGCATGCGATAGCGAAGGATAGAACAACTTGGCGTGAGTTGGTTAAAGGTCTATGCTCCATTAGGAAAATAGTAAACCAGGTGAAGTCCAGAGAAGTAAAAGCATCCGGCGTGATGTTGATTACTTCACACATCGAGGACCAATTGGTCTGTAAGGTACGAGTCTAGCCTCATGTGCGCGATAGGCCGCCTATAAAGGCACATTTACTTACATAGGGTTAGCAGCGGTGAAAGATTATGACTAACGACACCCACCTTCATTTCTGCTTGCAGCCAATTATCTGGACAACTGGAAGTGTATCTCCGTTCTGAAGGCTGACAGTAACGCCAGCGAAGCAGAAAGAGCAGTGATACATGCTCCCAGTTTCTCCAACACACCAACGTTAGGTTCCGTCAGGTATAACAACAGCTACAGCAATGCCAGTTAGTATCTGTGCTTGCTGGACCTTTAACATGAAAATGCTTCCTGGCATATGGGAGAGTCAGTAAGAGATGTTATATTTTTGTTTTGTGTGTGATGATGAAGTAACTGGCATGCGAACAGTTGATGAAAGTGGGGGATGTGTTGACATAAATGTGTGTGTTCTCGATGTGTGATATGGTGGGAAATTTGTCACATAAATGTGTGGATTTTGTTGAGTGAAAAGTTGATTAGAGTGTAGGATTTATGACATGTTTTGAAAAATGATGGATGTGTGCAGTTTGTGACATAAATATAAAGATACAGTGTGGTATTTGTGACATAAATGTATGGATTTTTGTTGTGTGAAAAGTTGAGCAAAGTGTAGGATAAATGAATGTAGAATTGACTGATGTGTGTGATTTATGACATAAATGTGTGCAATTTTGTTGTGTGGAAAGTTGAGCAAGGTGTAGGATTAATGAATGAAAGGTTGACCGGTGTGTGTGATTTATGACATCAATGTGTGGATTCTCAGTGTGTGAAAATGTGGCGTGAGAAACTTCAGAGTAGGATTTATGACATGTTTAAAGTGACGACAAAAGTCCCTGGTGTGTGTCTAACAGACGGTATATGAAATAGTTCCCTGGCATCGAGAACATAGATGACAGGTCAGCTACCACACAAGTGTATGGCATTCAATGAGGATTTATCATCTGCCTGTGAAATTTACTTGTAGCTTCATCACATACTTTAATCGCCATGTGGGTTGTGAGATCCCATTATGGAGAAAACAAGAATAGACCCACCGCCTCCCCAGCAGGCATGTCGTATGAGTCGACTAATTGGGGGCTTCCTTCGAAGTCAGAGTGCATCTGCCTGAGAGACAAGGAATCAGCAGTTTACATATAATGAAGTCGGATCTGTTAAACAGATGTGTGTGCAACACTCAGGTTTTGGAAAAAGACTAAAGTCCAGAGGTGGACAAACTGCTAGAACTTTCCTCCAGAGTTTACAGCCGGTGAACGAGAAGAAGAAGAAGAAAACATATTTTGACTTTTTTTTTTTCATTTTCACTTTTGGATATCTGTTATTGCTTGTCTTTGGATTGTTTGCCTAATAAATTGTGTACACTTTCTGGAGTTATATTTGGTGGTATGGTAGTTAGTACCTACTTGGACATAGTTGGATGTCTTTATTTTCTTCTTCATGTTCACTAATTTAGCTGTGGCAGAAAGTTCTGGTTGCTCGTCTAGTTCTGGATTTTAATCTTGTTCCAGAACTTGAGCTTTGTGTGTATATCTGTTTTAAAGGAAACACCCATAATATGGTCAACTTTCTACAGGCGTTTTGAGGCATGGCGGCGCTGGATCTGGCACACACAAACACCCCCTCCCTCTTTTACCCTTTCTCTGTAAGTCGTGTGCTGGAACCCACACGGGGAAGTTTAGTTATGTTCAATCATCAGCATTGGCAGGTGATATTTTATCCCCCTTCTCTTTTTCTCACCAAGCATAAAGTACAGGTTGACTGATTAAGGAGAATTTCCTTTGAAGTCGGAGCATGTCTGAGTAGAGAGAGAGGAGAGGAGCCAGGTCTGCGTAGAGAGGAGAGGAGACAGGTCTGAGTAGAGAGAGGAGAGGAGCCAGGTCTGCGTAGAGAGGAGAGGAGACAGGTCTGAGTAGAGAGGAGAGGAGACAGGTCTGCGTAGAGAGGAGAGGAGCCAGGTCTGCGTAGAGAGGAGAGGAGACAGGTCTGAGTAGAGAGAGGAGAGGAGCCAGGTCTGCGTAGAGAGAGGAGAGGAGCCAGGTCTGCGTAGAGAGGAGAGGAGACAGGTCTGTGTAGAGAGGAGAGGAGCCAGGTCTGAGTAGAGAGGAGAGGAGCCAGGTCTGTGTAGAGAGGAGAGGAGACAGGTCTGTGTAGAGAGAGAGGAGAGGAGCCAGGTCTGAGTAGAGAGGAGAGGAGACAGGTCTGAGTAGAGAGAGAGGAGAGGAGCCAGGTCTGAGTAGAGAGGAGAGGAGACAGGTCTGAGTAGAGAGAGACAGGTCTGTGTAGAGAGGAGAGGAGACAGGTCTGAGTAGAGAGGAGAGGAGACAGGTCTGAGTAGAGAGGAGAGGAGACAGGTCTGTGTAGAGAGGAGAGGAGACAGGTCTGAGTAGAGAGAGAGGAGACAGGTCTGAGTAGAGAGAGAGGAGAGGAGCCAGGTCTGAGTAGAGAGAGAGGAGAGGAGCCAGGTCTGAGTAGAGAGGAGAGGAGACAGGTCTGTGTAGAGAGGAGAGGAGCCAGGTCTGAGTAGAGAGGAGAGGAGCCAGATCTGTGTAGAGAGGAGAGGAGCCAGGTCTGAGGAGAGGAGCCAGGTCTGAGTAGAGAGGAGAGGAGCCAGGTCTGAGTAGAGAGGAGAGGAGCCAGGTCTGAGTAGAGAGAGGAGAGGAGCCAGGTCTGAGTAGAGAGGAGAGGAGACAGGTCTGAGTAGAGAGGAGAGGAGCCAGGTCTGAGTAGAGAGGAGAGGAGCCAGGTCTGCGTAGAGAGGAGAGGAGACAGGTCTGCGTAGAGAGGAGAGGAGACAGGTCTGCGTAGAGAGGAGAGGAGACAGGTCTGCGTAGAGAGGAGAGGAGACAGGTCTGCGTAGAGAGGAGAGGAGCCAGGTCTGAGTAGAGAGAGGAGAGGAGCCAGGTCTGAGTAGAGAGGAGAGGAGCCAGGTCTGAGTAGAGAGAGGAGAGGAGCCAGGTCTGAGAGGAGAGGAGCCAGGTCTGAGTAGAGAGGAGAGGAGCCAGGTCTGCGTAGAGAGGAGAGGAGCCAGGTCTGAGTAGAGAGGAGAGGAGCCAGGTCTGAGTAGAGAGGAGAGGAGCCAGGTCTGAGTAGAGAGGAGAGGAGCCAGGTCTGAGTAGAGAGGAGAGGAGCCAGGTCTGAGTAGAGAGGAGAGGAGCCAGGTCTGAGTAGAGAGGAGAGGAGCCAGGTCTGAGTAGAGAGGAGAGGAGCCAGGTCTGCGTAGAGAGGAGAGGAGCCAGGTCTGAGTAGAGAGGAGAGGAGCCAGGTCTGAGTAGAGAGGAGCCAGGTCTGCGTAGAGAGGAGAGGAGACAGGTCTGCGTAGAGAGGAGAGGAGACAGGTCTGCGTAGAGAGGAGAGGAGCCAGGTCTGAGTAGAGAGGAGAGGAGCCAGGTCTGAGTAGAGAGAGGAGAGGAGCCAGGTCTGAGTAGAGAGGAGAGGAGCCAGGTCTGCGTAGAGAGGAGAGGAGCCAGGTCTGAGTAGAGAGGAGAGGAGCCAGGTCTGAGTAGAGAGGAGAGGAGCCAGGTCTGAGTAGAGAGAGGAGAGGAGCCAGGTCTGCGTAGAGAGGAGAGGAGCCAGGTCTGAGTAGAGAGAGGAGAGGAGCCAGGTCTGTAGAGAGGAGAGGAGCCAGGTCTGTGTAGAGAGAGGAGAGGAGCCAGGTCTGAGTAGAGAGAGAGGAGAGGAGCCAGGTCTGAGTAGAGAGAGAGGAGAGGAGACAGGTCTGCGTAGAGAGGAGAGGAGCCAGGTCTGAGTAGAGAGAGGAGCCAGGTCTGAGTAGAGAGGAGAGGAGCCAGGTCTGCGTAGAGAGGAGAGGAGCCAGGTCTGCGTAGAGAGGAGAGGAGCCAGGTTCTGCGTGCAAATCAGCCTGTAAAATGGATGTGCTGGAGCAAGACCCAGGTCCAGAAGTGGATGAAACACCAGAACTTTCTGCTGCCAGTTTATAGCTGGTGAATGCTAGGAAGAACCTAAGCGCAGGTGGTTCAGACTCGAGCTTGCGTGACATTTGTACGGTTATCGATGAAACTGGGCTTTTCGCGTGCCTGGGTGAGCTGTGTCCAAGACACTAACATGTTTTCAGAGCCCTTTAGTGTTTTTGTTGTTGGTCTCTTGAAAGCTGTGACACAGACGCATGACCACTGATCCAAAGATAAGCAGGTGGTGTTTCACAGCTTTTAACATTGTCACAGGTCTAATCAGGGGCATTTCCTTAGGAGTCGAAGTGCATCTGCCTGACAGACAGGGAACTTATGTCTGCATACAAATAAGCCAGATCTGTAAAACGGATGTCAGTGCAAAATTCTAGCTCTGGATCAAGAACAAAGTCCAGGAGTTAATCAAGAACCAGATCTTTCCACTAGAGTTCACAGCCTGTAATGGCTAAGAAGAAGAAGATCACTGTCAGTTATCCTGAGTCAAGGCAACATTTGAAGCCAAACCCAGCTCTTCACATTCATAACAGTCCACACTGGCAACTTGCAATAATAAACGATAACAACGGTTCTGCAGTACGTAGTTCTTTCATTCGTAATTCACAGGTTAATTACATAAATACATTTTGTTGGTTGAATTATGCATGAACGTAGTTTTTTATTAATAATAATGATTACCTACATACATAATAGAAATCATGAAGCTGAACTAGAAGCCGGATTCAGATATACACTCATAGCATGCAATAGTTCTGATTTATGTTATCTAATGTCTTGCCAACATTGTTTATGGTCTCCCAGTTCACAGATCTGGGGAAGGCACACAAATGTATTCTTACCAAGAACTGTGCTCACCACTTTCAAGACATTGGTTGTCCCCTGGGTTCGATCCCGCTCGACAGTCGTGTAGAATAATCAATTAAAAGTCCAAAACCGTAATGGAGAATAGTCAGTTGAAGCATTACACAGAGTGGGGTAAAGCTTAGAGATGATTAATAAGGTCCCCGTGTAGGTTCCGGGGCCCTATTGTAGGGAAAACAAGAAAGACCCACTGCCTACCCAAAAGCACGTCGTAAGAGTCGACTAATTGGGAGCTTTCTTTGAAGTCAGAGAGCATCTGTCTGAGAAGCACGGAACCAACAGTCTGCACATAAGTGTGTCCAATTTGTCAAATGGATGCACACGCAACACTCAGGTTCTGGAACAGGACTGCAGTCCAGAAGTGGACGAACAACCAGAACTTTCCACCAGAGTTTACAGCTGGTGAACGCAAAGAAGAAGAAGAAGGTTAATATAAGTAGATACATCTGATTCTTGTTTTCTAGCTCAAGTT